GTGCATCTGTACTGCTGGGAGGCAAACGAGCTGTCCTTCTCCACCTACCGTCAGGGAAGAGAGGGAGATGAGATCAAAGGATGCAGGATATAGAGGTTAGGAAATAGAAGGGGAGAAAGACCTAATAACGGCCTCTCTTGAAAACAAACAGTATCATGCAATGGCACCTGAATGCGTGCAATGAGAGTTAACTTACAAGCCATAACCTCGGCGAACGGTTTGTCGCTCCTGTCATTTTCCTAAAATACATTCCTACTCAGTTTGTGAGTGCTATAGGTATATTTTGATCTACAGATTAAATAGTTGCATCATTACAAAGTATTGAATTATCAGGATAATTTATTACCAAGTGACATATCTGCATTACTGTTTAACAAACATATTATTTTGAATAAAAATAAAAAAATTTTTAAATAACTTGTTCTTGCCTGACATGAATATTACAAAATATCTGCCTCCAAAAACGAGGTAAAATATGCCATATTCATATTTCAGCATACATTACAGTTAAGCTGTGGCGAGCTGAATAAAAATAATGATTTTTAGGTAATACATTGCTCAGACATGTTACATTAATGCATATTAGTGCCCAGTTTTATGTATTTTTTATGCTAATATTAGTGAGTGCAAACTCAATTTGTCTCGTAGATCTCACACCATGGGATATTCAGATAATTGGTCCCTTTCTCAAACTTGTGGACTTGCTCTAGTACATTTAGGAGTCATCAATTTTTTAGGTAACCAAGGAATAATACAGGCGAGTCACATCTTACATATGGTGTTACAATATTTAGCATTTTTGTAATTCATTATAAGTCATTCACTTTAAAGAGACTAGACATTTACTTTATGAAGTATCTTTTAGTGAAATGCTGTTCAGCGAACAAGGAATGTTCTCAGAACTTTTAGCATTTTTCTATTTATTACAGAGCGTTCAGAACATTCAAACGTAACATTCCAATAATGTTTGGAAAAATGTAAAACGGAATGTTCCTTTAAAAAAAAGGTTTGAAATGGACATTTTGAATGTTCAGAGAACATTCAGAAATAATGTTTTTAAAATGTTAGCAGAATGTTCTTATGAACTGGTCTGGTGTGTTTTTCTGTATGCTTAACACACTTGCTCCGTGTTTAAAGCGCTCTTAAAGTTTATTAAAGCATAAACAGAATCAGGGAGTAAAACAAAACATATTTCAACATAACTTTATACAGCTCGAAATACACAACAATACAAAATACAAAGTAGAAAACGGTATTGTCTCTTGTTCTCCTCAGAGGAGAGATGTGGAGAGAGGACGGTCCTCTCTGTAATACATGAAGGAAGGGCCTTTCTTCTCTCTTTTAGATCTGCTGTGTGATGTTTGGCATTGAGATGAAACTAAAGAAGCTCTGTGTAGCGGTAAGACTCTCTGTCTCCATCTGTTGGCCAACCACTAGATATAATTGCATGAATGCTAGTGGGTGAAGAAGCAGGAAAAATATACCTTAAAAATGAAACATTCTTATATACACATACCAGCAAACATACAGTTTTTCAGGCTCATTTTGCAGTATAGTGGTTCAATTGTTCACACACACCCATGATACAAATGTGTCTCTGATGCCCCTGTGTCTGGGTGAGATCGTGGGTGTATGCTTAGTATATTGTGATGTGTTTCAGAAAGCAATGCTTTGTAACTTTTGTCATGTTTTAGCGGTATATATGTGATACAGTTACTTTATGGGGCTAATTTTATTTGACCTAGAGAGATTTCCTGCTTTTTGACTCACAACACATTGTATTGAGACCCTACAGAGATATGTTCTCAGACGTTTGACGGGGGACGGCTGGAAATATTAAGAAACTGAAGCAGGAGTGTCAAAACACTGAAAACTCCATGAGTGTTTATCTCTTTCTCTCCGTCAGTAGCGGTCCTCTTTTTTCCAGTTATCCCCAAACCCATCTCTCTGACTGAGAAGACTTCAGCTGTACTGACTCGCTGTTGTCTCTGTCTGCCTGCAGCCAAGCAAAGGTAAATAAAACATCAGATGAAAACAAAAAACTATACAAAATTTATTTTAGTTAAGCTCAATAAGCATCTGTGGCATGGTGATTACCACAGAAAATATGTTTGTATCATCTCCAAGTTATTGCGGAAGCCTTAGAGGCCGTGCATTATTTTTTTAATGTCTTGTTTTTTACTTTCTCATGATCTCAACTTAGCAGAAGTTGTTTTTTGAGGTCTTGTTTCTGTTTTAACAAAAGCCATTTCTGCACCATACACAACCATTCAAAAGTTTGGTGTCGGTAAGATTTTTTGATGTTTTTGAAAGAAGTTCTGCTAACCTAGTCTGCATTTATTTGATAAATACAGTAAATATTATTACAATTTAATATAACTGTTTTCTATTTGAATATATTTATTCCTGTGATGCAAAGCTGAATTTTTTGCATCATTGCTCCAGTCTTCAGTGTCACCTGATCCTTCAGAAATCATTCTAATATTTGATTTGGTGCTCAAGAAAATGTATTTTTATTATCAATGCTGAACAGTTGTGCTGCTTAATATTTTGGTGGAGACCATTATACCATTTAAGTTCAAAACAACAACATTTATTTGAAATAAATATCTTTTTTAACATAAATGTCTTTACTGTGACTTTTGATGAATTTAATATGTCCGTTCAATTTCTTTAAAATAAAATCCCCAAACTTTTAATTGTGCACTGTATAGTGTATATACTACTATATAATGGGTGAACGAATTTGCATTGGTTTTAATGAAAAATATTAACTTATCTTTATTATATAATATTACTGCTTGTGGCAAGCTTGTGTTGTGCCACCAGTAATTAATTTATTAATAATAAATTACACTGATATCATATGATATCCATGTATGTCCACTAGCTATATCCATAAGTACATTATTCACTTCAATTAATATAAATTGAACATATTAACAAATAATTTTGGAATGGCATCAAGCTCACAACAATTAACTGACCTTGCTTGCGATAGCTTTCAGTTTACCCAGTAACGAAGGAGTATTTGAGTAAACAACATCGTCCTCATTCTCCTCCCCTTCTCCCTCTGCTAATGCACAGCTGTCCGCTGCTGGCAACTCACAGTCCTTATTGGCCGACATCACTAGTCTGGAGTATTTATATTCAAGCCTGTACAAAGAAGAAAAGAGGTCAAAAATCAAAAAGCACTTTTTGCATCTCAAGCTGAATTTCCATTGACAGCTTGTTACCTTTTGTTCTTTTTCCAGAAATAACATGTGAGAGAAACCAAGAGGATGGCCATGAAGGCTCCGCCCCCAATTCCGGCCTTCACCCATAGGCTGACCACCTCACAGTGGGCGGAGGTCTTGTTCGGGAGCGGTACCCCTTTAGTGCAAAATTTTGGTTCGTTCCACACATAGAGGGTGTCCTGTTACGAGAAGCATACATGATTAATCAGAACGATGCCAAAGAAATTGTACTAGATGCATTTGTGGAAAGAGATGTACCTGCACTCCTCCTTTGCACGCTCCTTCTATCGAATGGTAGTAGGTTTCAGTGCAGAGAGGACAAGCGCTAGAGCTCTCCCAGAGGAAATTAAACTCACAGCCATTACATGTACCTGCTGGGCACTTGCTAAACACACAATTAAGAAGTGCTTTTTTGTGATTAACATTACCACATTGTCTTTCCTTCAAGCAATTAAAATTGTTTGTAAATGTACGTAATCAGTCCGACAATTTTTGTGGAAGGCATTTGTAGCAGAATGGTTCATTTCAGTGCATTTCGAACCCAACTCACTCTCAAAATCAACATTTCTCATTTCACACACAGAAAAAGTGCAAATGCAAATCTACAAACATTGAATATTCATTGCATATTTGCAATTGGCCTACAAACATTTGAATGCTATGTATTAGCATTTATATTAATAGCGGTGTTTCACTCATGGGTAATATTTCAGCTGTTGAGCTTCGATGATAATTCACCATATACAAAGAATGCAAATGATGCAAATTTGAAAAATGCTAATTTTTGTTACACGTCCCATCTGTTTTATTAAAAAATAAATGATCCATAAAGATACTCAGCTATGCACATTTTAATCACATTTTAATAAAAAATGCAATGCATTTAACATATTTAATATGTTAACTTGGTCCTAAAATACATACGTTTGTGAACAAATACAGATAATAAGCATAGAAATACACGCACCTAGGCACAGTGAGCTCTCCGCGTGCACTCTTCTCAGGATTGCAACGCAGAGTCACGACTGTGCTCCGGCCGTTCAGACAGGATGCTGTGGGCTGTGGAGAGCTGAGGTGAAAATATTTTTTTTATTATTATAAATTAAATATCATTGCACACATCAACTACCTATTTTAAACAAGTTCATCTTTCTTTATTTACCGATAGAAGAAGTTGATATCTGGAACTTTCCATGAAGACTCAGGGAAGAGGTCTGAGCTGACAGTGACCCCATCCAGATTTTTGTGAACAGAAGCTCCTGAGAAATGGAAGAATGAAGGACATGAGACGAGTAAGAAATTAGAACACCTCTGTTTTGAAGGGAGCTAAACACAAAAGTGCCATGTAAAACAACTTTATTATAGATTAGAGGTGGCCAAATTTCAGATATATTCTCTGTATTTCAATGCAAAAAAGATGATTTCTGAAGGATCATGTGACACTGACGACTGGAGTAATGATGTTGCAAATTCAGCTTTGCATCACAGGAATAAATTACATTTTAAAATATATTAACATAGAAAACAGCTATTTTAAATTTTCTATTTTTACTGTATTTTTTATCAAATATATGCAGCCTTGGTGAGCATAAGAGACTTCTTTCGGAAAAAAATGAACAATCTTACTGACTCCAAACTTCTGAATGGCCATGTATGTTAAATACTGTTAAAGAAATAAGCTCACCAAGGAAAGTGTCAGCCAGGCTGATGGACTGAGACGACAGTGATGTTCTAAAGCCCCGTCCATCTGCAGGGATGATGGTCGATTGGCACACAAAAGTCTCGACGAAATTGTTAAGGTCAGCGGATTCATTTTGCAGGTCCTTACTGGACAGATCTGTAACATTGTCAGTGCACACCGCCACCTTCCTCCCCTGCGAGAGAGAACAAAATATGCACTTTGTGATGATCTTAAGAAAGCTATTTCTAATTTCTATCAAAGCAATCTATTTTTAGTCAGCTAAAGATAGAGATGTGTGTATGTGAGAGTACCTCAGCCCCACACAGACTGATATTAAACTGGTGGTAGTATTTAGTTCCCTTGGAGGTGAAACTAGGCCCATTCATGATTGACCCCACTGAACTCAAGGCACTCAAGTCGTAGGTCAGCGTTCGGTTTCGATCCATATGCGAGAAGGTGCAGTCGTTAAAACACACAGAGTGCTCCTGGACACATAAAACACACATTTTGCATGTTAAACAGTGTTAAAAACCAACATAGTCATGCATTACCTCTTGGTTATACTCGTACCTTGTTGTTCTTGCTTCCAGGTCCGCAGGGCTGACAGGCCTCCTGGCCATAAATGTGATGCCCAGAGAGGAAAGTGTTGGACGGGCACTCCTGGCACTGGTTGGTGTCTTTGTTGATGAAGTGTCCGGCGGGACAGGGGACACAGGAAGAGCCGTCCTGCTGACTCATCATAGCACAGGCGTGGCAACCAGACGCTGAGCCATCCATCGCATTAGTCACCGTGATCGAGTAGATCTTTGCAATGTCATTTACATGCTGACGCACCTGTGAGAGAAAGACACCGCGAATGAGAACTTTTCCACGTGACAAAAAGGTACTTAAGACTAATTTCTGTTGTGAATACTTGCATCAGAGGCTTTGTTGGTGCGCTGGAAAGCCCATGTGTACGAAACCGAAGCATTTTTGGTCATGGTGTGGGTGTACGCTTGTCTCGGTTTACTCCCTACCCATGATTCCACAACATTTGTGCTCTTCCTGTTTACGTCCTATGGAGAAAATGCATTGATTTAGTAAATAACTTGCAGATTAATTCACTGTGATGACTGGACTATTATTCTCAAAATGTTAGCACAAAAACATTACTTGTACATCGTTCATGATCAATTTTTTCTGAAACGTTTTAGATGAACATTCATTTATGTTCACAGTTTTTAAATGCTACTACTTCAGAGAACATTCAAAAATAACATTTCCGTAATACTTGCAAAATGATAAAATAGAATGTTTCCTTACCGTTTGTTTTTTAAAACTTTTAAAAGTTTTTTGAATGTTCAGAGGACATTCAGAAATAACATTTTCATAACAATAGCAATGCTACATACTACATTTATCTTTATCGGTGCATACTACTGTTTCACATACTGTTTTGGTTAAATTATTGTCTTACTATCATAAAATAGAGTTCGCAGTCTGCGCTGCAGTTGGTCTCGAAGATAAACGTGATTCGGCCGAACTCAGTAGCTGAAGCATCGTTCACAGAAGTAGGAAGTCTGAGAGAGATAAAAAAAAAGAGAGGCCACTTGTAAATGTTCTATGCACAACCAGCAATTTAACACTGGAATTGTAGATCTGACTCACTTGAATCCAGGCACTCGTAAATTTAAGATGAGGTAATCATTATCTGAGCCGCCCACTCCGATACGAATGTGGTCGCCAGCCACTTCCCAACCTACAAAAACAAATGTGCATCGGATCATAGAGCATTTACTTCATTGGCCTGTAATGCGGTGTGCATTGGCATACATGCTATTAATATATATATGTGACCCTGGACCACAAAACCAGTCATAAGGGTCATGGTCTGAATGATTTATTTTTGTGTGTTCGTACGGGAGTACTGTGTTTTGGAGCATGGTGTACATGAACTGGCTCCCTTTCCAGAGTAAGTGTTCCTGGGGCAAAGGTCACATGAGGAAGAGCCTGGGGTTTTACTGAAGGTGCCCGGCCTGCATGGAAAACACTCTGAGGTGTACGCCACACCTGCACAGAAAACGTGTAAAAAAAATAAAAAAAGTAATATGACCATAAAATATCCCAACAAAAGAAGGCACGAAAGTAGACATGATTTCATCAGAATCCCACACCTTCGATCTGGATGTTCTTCAAAAGGACCGGCTTCACTGGTTTCCCACCCAAGAGCATTCCTGTGGTTCTCCAGTACAGAATATTAGTTCCTGACTTCAGGTTTACCTTTGACATACAAAAAAATCAGCTATATTAGACATCAATACTGCAAAATCCTTAAAGGGACAGTTCACCCAAAAATTAATATTCTGTGATCATTTTCTCACTCACATTTTGTTCCAAACCTTTCTCTGGAACACAAAAGCAGATATTTGGTAACTAAACTGTTTGGGTTCCCGAAACTGTTTGGTTATCAACATTCTTCAAAATATCTTCTATGGTGTTCAGCAGAAGAAAGAAAGTCATACAGGTTTGCAACAACATGAGGGTGAGTAAATGATGACTGAATTTTCAATTTTGGGTGAACTGTCCCTTTAAATATGAATAAAATCACTAACCGTATGGGTTCCCCACTCTCCGTTAGAGGTGAGTTTGATCCATTTCTCACTCCCTGTCTGGTCCATCTCCTGACATTGGTCATTCTGAATCTGCATCAGAAATAAAACATATTATTTTTAGAGATATATTTTCACTTCAACACATTTGTAGAAAAAACAAATGAAAGATGTATAGAGTAAAACACACAAAGAACTCGAAGAAGACGTTGCTGTCGACATATTGATAGTCAAAGGAGACGGAGCCCTGCTTCATGAGATGCACTGCATACACCAGTGACACTGTGCAGTCGTCACGATTGGATTCCAAGTGACTTCCCTGAGGTGTCCATGAAGAACTGCAATTAAACAACACAATGTTAACAGGTAGATCCAGATCTGTAAAAGCTTAGAGAATAGAATATATGGATATATATATATATATCAGTATGTAACTTGGCACTGACTTGTTGCAGGTCATTGAGTCGTCTCCTGAACCTCCTGAGTCCATGTATGTGGCCAAATTGCTGAATCCCGCAGGAATGGAGTCCCACTGGTCAAAACGCACGCCGCTACCCAGCGAATAAGAGCCAGCCGCACATGATGTGCACTGCTGGGATGACATCTCTAAAAACTTCCCAGCTTCACAAGAAAAAGCTGTACAACAAGTAAGCACAGACTGTGTTATAGTGACACAATACAAAGACCTTCAGATGTTTTCGGACACATTTAAATTGAATAAATGTCATTGCTTTTGATATCAAAATATACAACCAAGGAAGTGTTTGAGCCAGCATTCTTTAAATGAAATGCCACTTGGTTTGATATTTTAAGTAATTCAATGCATGTTCATTGAGAGTGTGTATATGTGGTTGTTTTCTTACTGCAGTCTGTGCCTCTGACAGGCTCTGGAAGGCCTGAGCAGCTTCCCTGTCTGTGAGGAATGGCAACTCTCCATCTGGAGCCTGTGCTGTCACACTCTGTGTACTCGAAGTAGTAGTCTGTCTGAAACACACATGCAGATAGCGACATATTCAAACATTTACATCAAACACAAGTTATGGTGATTAAAAGTGACCTTTTTTCATAAACCAGCAAGAAAAAAGATTTAGAATATTTTAATAAATTCAATATTTTAACATATAATAAAAAGGTTTTTTTTGCAAAAAATAAAATAAAATCGCTCATGCGCTCTTCTCAAACACAGGCAGCTTTACAGAAAAAAATCCTGGATACATGTACAAAAAATGCATAAAAAATTTTTTTTTTAGCAAAAAATACAATAAATGTGCTCTTCTCAAACATAGGCAGCTTTACAGAAACTGCCCTTTCAAAACATATTGTCATGTAACATAATTTGTGCCATTATTATTTTTTTTGATTAAGCAAGCATCTTGAACACCTTACCCCACTCACCCCTACCTGATCTTTTACTGTTTCCAAAACTTTCAGGCACATATAACAGATAGTTAGATTTCGTGTGTGCTTACAATAGCAGGGGGATGGGGATGGTCTGACTATCTGCCTTTTGTCCCCGGACAGTCGCCAGGGCAACGGCCAGGAGCCCTGTGACTGTTGTCATGACGATCACTCATTGCTTTTGGTTGTGGATGGTAATGAATGAAGAGTCTGATATACACTGATAACAACCTGAAATAATGAGGCCACTAAATATCTCCTGTGTGTGCGTCTTTGTTGACAGATCTGTTATGCAAATCAGTGTGTGTCCAATGCTCTGAAATGCAGCGATTGTTCTCTGCTCCTTTAGGGGCCTGCTACACACAAAAGCCAAATTGACCGCATACACACACACACACAGGTAAGAGCGCAAACCATGTATTAAATTACATATACCACCATAATACAGTGTAATGACGTTGTTGCCTTCAGGAAGATGATAAATACATCCCACTGGAGGTGCCTGTCATCTGGTAATGCTTGATTATAGCACACACATTATCACTAATGGTGCACCTGCACCTGCAACTATTACCCAGCATCCCCCTCAAATACTCTTAAAGGAGCAGTTCACCCCAGAATTAAGATTCTGTCATCATTACTCACCCCGTGTTGTTCCAAAACGGAATTTTATATATAAAGCAGAATGTTTTTACATTTAAATAAATTTATGCATTTAGCAGACGCTTTTATCCAAAGCGACTTACAGTGCATTCAGGCTATACATTTTCTACCAGTATGTGTGTTCCCTGAGAATTAAACCCACAGCCTTTGTGCTGCTAACGCAATGCTCTACCACTGAGCCACAGGAGCACTATTTATTAATATTAACACTATTAATTAATAGTATTAATTCATTCATTCATTCATTCATTATTATTAACTATTAATACTATTTCTATTAACATATTTTCTATCCAGTAACAGCAAATGTGACCCTGGAGCACAAAACCAGTCATAAGTAGCACGGGTATATTTGTAGCAATAGCCAAAAAAAACATTGCATGGGTCAAAATTATAAATTTTTATTTTATGCCAAAAATCATTAGGATATTAAG